ACAGGTAGCTGCTGAGTGGCACTGTACCACGAGAACGCACACCATTGCATAGTGATTTCTTTTAGTAAGTGCCTCATAGAGACAAAACAATACGTCACTGTAATATGTGGAGATGATTCAATGGGGCCACTCAAGTCAGTGTAGCCATAAAAGCTACATTGCCTGCCATCTCGGCCTTGCCGAATGATCGTGGTGGCGGGACGTCTACGGCACACAACAGGAGTCCATAGACTGACCCTTGCACCACTCGCCTGGCATATCTAAGCAACGAGTACAACTCTCATTGCTACATTGGTTATGACTCAGCGCGCCAAGGCAAAAAATGGCCACACATGGCTTCAGACGCTGCGTAAAATCTGATCGCAACGTATCCAAGAGAAGGTATATAAGATAACTGACCTTGCACCAAACCAAAGACAAATCAGCCACAAACTCCGAACGATAAATGGGCTCACCCTAGTCAACCCAAGTTCAAGTCCACGTCATTCGTTTCACACGCCCCGTCTCGCCTCGCTCAGCTGCTGCTCGATCAGCCCAGGTTTTCTCTCTACATAACAGTCTACAATACATTGTCTTGAGCTTACGTGTCGGTGCCAACCTCGCATCCGCCGCCCGCTCTCGAAGGACCAAGTGCATTGGAAGCTCGACACGCCACAACACCGCAGTGGAGAAGGCTCATAGCCGCTGCCATGTAGCGTAGTGCCAGATAACGCAATATCATCGTGTTTTCGCATGTCGCGCGAAGCCTCGATTATCTAATAAAACGATCGATTATCGCTGCAAACACGCATTCACATGGCGAATGTGTGATGGACGCGCGCGACGGACGCGACCTCCGCTTCGTTGCGCTGCCCAGGGCGCTACCGGCCTTCAGCCGGAAACTATACTGTGGTGCAACCTCCGCTGTGCTACGGTGCACCCTGCGGTGCACCTGGTGGATTCTTTGTAGGGCTCCAGTGGTGTCAACGTCAAAGTGCGGTGAGGGTGGTGCATCGTCCCGATCTCGCTTCGATGTGGAGCCGTCGCCGGGAGGAGCTCTTTCTTAACTGCTTCAACCTTGCATCATTTCGACACTCGGATCCAATACTGCATAGCAGAACGCTTCACGCATAGAGGCCACAACAGCTTGCTACAGCATCGCGGAATGATCAACATTGCAGCATATAGAACGTTCATGAGGTGGTTTAAAGAATCGCTACTCGGATTTGCAGGCCCAGCAAATCTACTGTGGCAGGCGCGGTCGACGCGTTGCTTCGCTGCTGTCGCCTCTGCCTCGCGGCGATCTTCCGCTTCAGCTCCTTGGCCTCCTCGATCGCAGTTTCTGTCGCCAGGGCCCCTGCAACTTGGCGCTTCCGCTGCTCGCACTTGCGCTCGGCCCCAGAAGCTGGCGTTCCCGTCATGATAGGGTCTTCTGCACCATCATTGGCGACGGGGGTGACGATGTGGAGCACCAAGGGTGCAGAGAAGCAGTCATAATGCATAGCCGATACGGTTGGGTCGTCGCATTTTCTAAATGCCGCGGAGAGCTTTGCGGATCCAGCTGTGTGCGTCAACGTCAACCGAGACGTCGTCCTTGTTGAGCAGCCGCACTCGATTTGACCTTGAATCAATTAATTGCTCAGTGCACAGCATCTCTGCAGCCGGTCAAGGAGCGACGACAAAATGAACACATTTACTGATACTACGCACTCGCTACATGGAAATGCCAAGGTTGCTGTCGTCGCCGTACGGACTGAACGAGCTCTTGGAAAAGTGCAGCGACCGGCACGACGAGTGGAACGAGAACA